CCTTCATCAGTTACTGGTTTTACTTGTTCGTAATTACTTCTATAAAATGTCAGAAGTCATCTCATACTTCCTGACTGCAGTAAACTGTATACTGTGCTTGTGTTTTTTATGTAGCCAAGCATAACAGTCATAAAACTCACTAATGACCTACTAACTGCTAAAACTAGTGGCCATTACTCCATACTCATACTCCTTGACCTTTCCGCTGCCTTTGACACAGTCGACCACCCACTCCTCCTCAGTAAACCCCACTCCATCGGCCTCCATGACTCTGCTCTCTCCTGGTTCTCCTCTTACCTTTCTCAGCGCACTTTCAGTGTCACATACAACTCCTCCTCCTCCGCTCCGCTTCCTCTTTCTGTTGGGGTACCCCAAGGTTCTGTTCTTGGGCCCCTCCTTTTCTCTCTCTATACCTCCTCCCTGGGCCAACTGATAACCTCCCATAGCTTCCAACACCACCTCTATCCTGATGACACCCAGATCTATCTCTCCACTCCCCAGCTCACCCCCTCAATCTCCTCACGTGTCTCAAATCTAATAAGCAACATATCAGCACGGATGTCACATCACTACCTTAAATTCAATCTTTCAAAAACTTAGCTTGTAATATTTCCTCCTCCCCGATCCCCCACTCACGACTTTACCATTAAGATCAACAGCACAACCATTGGTCCTTCCCCTCATCTCAGGGTGCTAGGCGTAATCCTAGACTCTGACCTCTCCTTTGGGCCCCACATCCACTCACTGGCTAAATTCTGCCACCTCAACCTCTGGAACATTTCCAAAATCCGCCCCTTCCTGACCAATGACACCACAAAACAACTCATCCATGCATTGGTTATATCCCACCTCGATTACTGCAACTCCCTCCTCACTGGTCTACCGTTACACAGGCTATCCCCCCTTTAGTCTATTTTGAATGCTGCTGCTAGACTCATACACCTTACCAACTGATCAGCGACTGCTGCCCCTCTCTGCCAATACCTCCACTGGCTTCCACTAACCCAATGTATAAAATTCAAAATACTAACCACAGCTTACAAAGCCATCCACAACACTGCCTCTAGCTACATCACAGACCTCATCCACAGATACCGCCAAATCGCCCACTCCGCTCCTCCCATGATATCTTCCTCTTTAGCTCCCTCATCACCTCCTCCCACGCTTGCCTCCAGGACTTCTCCAGAGCCTCTCCCATCCTCTGGAACTCCCTACCACAGCATGTCTGGTCAGCCCCCACCCTGTCTGCCTTTGAAAACTCACTTCTTCAGGGAAGCCTACACCACCTCCACCTAAGAACTGTACATGAATCACCTCCGCCAGATCATCCCCTGCAGCTATCACCTTTTGTATCACCTCCCCCTTCCTTTAGATTGTAAGCTCCATGAGCAGGGCCCTCCTATTCCCTGTGTACTGAAATGTATTGTAATTGTACTGTCTCCCTTACATTGTAAAGCACCGCGCAAACTGTTGGCGCTATATAAATCCTCTATAATAATAATGATACTTAGTTCTACAAACAATTCTGCATCAGACTTATTTTTCTGATGGCTTTCACAACACTTAAATGGATTTATGTAACATAGTAAAGAAGAACCATGTTGTTAATATGTGCAAATATGAAGTAGTGTTCTGTATCTGCTCAGATAAGACCAAGTCCTTGATTTGCAAATTAGTTCCTGAAGCAAACTGAAAAAACAAGAATGAGTACATATGAAATGAAAACATGTGAGTCACAGTTACTCTGCAGAAATGCAAAGACGTAAACTTGGGAACACAGTTTATAAGGCTGTAGGCAATTTGCCTATTGCAGTTGAATTTGGTGCTGCCCCGGCTGGGAGAGTTAGAGTTAACCGTACTTCCTGAGTTATGCTTGGCAGGCTTCTTGGGTTCCATCCACTGATCCTGTGGCATTATAGAAGGGACAGGGGTCTGGATCTTGCGGGTTCTTGCTTGCTGCCGCACTGCTGATGTCGTTGCTGGTCTGCTGTGCCATGCTGAGTACAGAGTTCCTGATAAAGATGCCACAATGTAGAGGGGCTGCTGGGACCTGCATGTCCTGAAGAACACCAGTAGCTGGATACTGTCAAAATGGACTTTTACCTATGCAGGTACGCCAGGACAGCCACAAACCTAGTTAGGTATTAAGAATGTTAGGAACAGGGCCGGACTGACAACTCATGGGGCCCTCAGGCAATAGGGGATCATGGGGCCCCTGTGTCCTTGCCCAAACTCAAAAAAGCCTATGAAAAGGGTACCAGGGGCATCTCATGGGGCCCCCTACTGACCCCTGCCCTCGGGCAGCGCCCGAGTTTCCAAATGGTCAGTCCGCCCCTGGTTAGGAAAAAACTGTTTTGTTCTGTCTGAAACTTTGCGTATGCCTGGTCTGAAGTTACTAAAGAGGTGTAATGTAAGTAACTCACACAACAATACAGCGTTGGTCAATAAACACATTGTGGTATGAAGACAAGTGGTTACCAAGGGTAACAAAGGTTTCACAAGCAGCCTGCTAAGTGGTGGGACCCCATTCCGTTATTAGTAGTGAGGTAGTGGAGATACCCTGGACAGGTGGAGTGGGCATCGGCTCAGCATGTACCTCCTAAATACAACAACTGTATTGAGAAGGGGACAAGAGAGTCCAGTTTATTGCTCAAGTGTACACGTTGTATGGTCATCTCTGAAGTTAGAGGTTTGTCTTAAGGTAGAGTAGTCCCTGAAAGTAGTCATAGCCTTGTCCCTGGGCTTTCATGGAAACAAGTAAAGGTACCCCATGTGCAAGGCAAGTGACCCTGTCCACGGTGCGTAGTATAGCTGAAAAGAACCCACCCCAGGGTAGGTCTTCTATGTGACGCACACTTGCTGCCCAATGAAGAGGAGAACGTGATGGGAGTGTCACCCACCTACCCCCAGAGCTTACAAGCTGATAAGGAAATGGTACATGCTGCTATGAAAACTGGGCATAGCTAAATTGTTTAAGGGACACAACTTAAAATGTTTTGAAGTAAAAAAGATTTATAATACATACAGTTAAAGTGTTACTTAACCCACAACAACAAAATCAGTCTGTATATGCAGTAAAGCATGCTTGTTATACTTACTATGAAACCTAAGGGGTTAATCCTCCGCATTGTGAAAAAAAGTCTGTATTCTCTGATTTTCCCATTCTTTTACTGTCCCTAATCCATCTGCCATAGTACAGAGCAGTAGTGGCAAGTCTGCACATGCTCTGTTTGCTGTTTATTGCTAGAAAGTTTTTGTTTGTTTTTTTTGGGGGGGGGGGCATGTGATCAGCACAGGGGCCAATCAGCGCTTTCCATGCACCGAGGGTCAAGGGTCATGCAGCCTCATAGAACAGTCAGAGGAGAATGAGAACTCCTCCTTCAAGATTAACCAGTGCTTAGCAGGACACTGATAGAAGCCACATGACTGCTTTATTCTGCTGATGAGAAAAAGGTATTTATCAGTTTATATTTACTAAAATAATTACACTTTCATGTTGTGTGTACTGTGGAAGACCAGATATAGTGAATGCAGGGTCATGGGTTTAGTATCACTTTAAAAAAGGAGGCAGTAAGCAGATGTAGAAGTTGTACATTACACTTATGTAGCATATAAGAACAAATATGATAATAAAAATGCAGTGCTAGGTTGTAATTCACAGTTGGTAATGATAAACAGTCATAAGTATAAAGCGAGCGCTACTGAGGAGCATATAAGGTGATGTGATAAGTACGTCTTATGGTGACGCATCAATATAAAAAGGACCTAAAATAATGTGACAAAAGTGGATAGTTCATTAAAACTGTAACGTAGGTCCAGATGACACGGTGATCTGTGCTCCGTGCTGGTAACTTCAAATGACGAAGACCAGTAAAATTGTGCCCTTACCAGAAGCGCATAACAAGTGTGGAAGCTCCAGATAAAGAATGCATTTGTTTGCTTTATTCTTTTGCTTTATTCTTCTTTCCAAACAATGATATCTACTGTGGAGATCTTTCTGTATCTGTAGCTTCCGTGTTTGCTGATATCTTGGAGCTGTTTCTGATGGGTACAAGAGCAGAGTGTGACCTGTGTGTGAGCAGTATCATCCTATGAGTCCACATTGAGCTTGATGACCCTGCAGCCCTTGACCAGACCCAGATGACCCCCTAAAGGATATATCATTTTCATGCGCACTTGTTATGCGCTTCTGGTAAGTGCACAATTTTACTGGTCCTCATCATTTGAAGTTACCAGCACGGAGCACAGATCACCGTTTCATCTGGACCTACGTTACAGTTTTAATGAACTATCCACTTTTGTCACATTATTTTATGTCCTTTTTATAGTGATGCGTCACCATAAGACGTGCTTATCACATCACCTTATATGCGCCTCAGAAGCGCTCACTTTATACTTATGACTGTTTATCATTACCAACTGTGAAATACAACCTAGCGCTGCATATTTATTATCATATACTGTTTTTTTCAGAGGTGTAGAGGTTTACCTTTTTTATGCTGGCTGCTTATTTGTTTGTTGCGCTCGCAATTACCCAAATTTACAATATAAGAACAAATGCAAAGAATCTTTTCCTGGATGCTAGAGAATCGGTAATACAAAATAGGAACAATTACTGAAAATTACACACAGCATACATATTTACGTACTACTGTGCAGCATCTATAAACTGTGTACAGAAGTAAAGGGAAACAAAAATTACACCTAGCATACAGAATAAGAGAAAAAACTACTGTGCAGTGTCCATTATGAGAGTGTAAGACCCTTTCACAGTGTGAGTTTAGGAAATGGATATAGAAATGACACAGGATTCTCAAAGTTTGAGAAGCTCCGGAGTGTTTATTCTGAGTGCAGAAAACTTTAGTTTAACCACCTCCCACCCGCCATATAAGGAAATGACGGGCGCAAGGTGGTTCTCTCGTTCTGGGAGTACGTCATATGTCCCTCGGACACAGCGGATCACCGATCAATGTAAAGAGCTGAATATGTCGGCTCGGTCATGTGATCAGCTATGTCCAATAACAGCTGATCGCATGTAAATAGGGAAATGCCAGTTATCGGCATTTCTCTCCTTACGAGCGGTCATGCTGACAGCTCGTGAGGAGAGGAGAGCCTGTAATCGACTTTACTCAGAGGAGACATGTGCACTGATCATCAGGGCACTGATGATCAGTGTGCCTGATGATCTGTGTAGCCCCAGCAGTGCCCCCTGTCAGTGTCTATCAGTGCCAGCTGTCAGTGCTCATCCATTCCACCTGCCAGTGCCCATCAGTGCCACATCAATGCCACATATCAGTGCCTACCAGTGCACATCAATGCCACATATCAGTGCCCATCTGAGCTGCCTTTCAGTGCTACCTATCAGTGCCAGTCAGTGCTACCTATCAGTGCCAGTCAGTGCTGCCTATCAGTGCGCATCAGTGCTGCCTATCAATGCCCGTCAGTGCTGCCTGTCAGTGCCGCCTAACAGTGCCAGTCAGTGCCACCTGTAGCAATTGTACCCACAGAGATGGACATGGTTCAACCATTTTGCTCCAACCTCCATCTTGGCAAAGGATCATCCATCTTGTACAAATATATCTTTCCTCATCCTCCCCCCTCTCTGAGATCCACAGTGACATGTGGTCAGTGTGTGTTGGAAGTGTCGCAGGCAGGCCAGAGCACAGCAGATAGCTCCGAGCTATAAAACCTCTCTGAGCTGGGTGCCGGGCGTTCTAAGAAACTGTGCAATCTGGCACCTCGTAAAAGGATAAACCAAGCCTTCCCAAGTTCAAAGACATTCCAGAGGAGTAATAAACAGATACCACTTCTAAAATCCATCTTCCCCCTCTGTCTCATATCTTGGAATATGAGACTTACATAAAAACTAGGCATATCTTCAGACTGGTCACGAGAAGACAAACTGTTTGATATGTCACACTCCTTGGCTGGAATATATAGGAAAGCAGAAAATTACATCTCTTGAACCATTCAAGTATGTATTTCATATCTAACCGTTCCGCAGATGCATCTGCATATTAATCTACCCGCGGGTGGAATGTTACTTGTGCCTAGGAAACGTTGTGAGCCAAAATATAAGCTATGAGAGATTTTGGTTCAAGCCTGTCCGCCTAGACACCCCCTCCCCAAATGAGGCATTGGTCCTTGGCTTCAGAGTCACCCCCTGCTGGGGGATTACAAAATAGACTGCCAGGCCTAAGAGTTGAAGTTGAAGAAATCTCCCTTTTAACATCAGAACCAACTTAGGAGACGTGCCCTTTTGCTCTGAATCTTGATCTGCTTAACCAAGGACTTTTGGCAAGTACTCTACCTTTCTAAACTTCTTTCTGTTACCTTTTTGCTGTGTTATTGCTCTGTATATTTATATATATATTGGTTACATTTTTTTTCTGTAAATATTTTTATTGCACCCTTTTGACCTTTTAGCAATAAATCTTACTTTCTGAAAGTGTTGAACTGTTTCTAAAACTCCTTAATGCAATTTTTGAATTCCTGCTGCTGAAGGGTGCTATGTGTGTTTAACCCTCTGTATAACCTGTCTGCGGTGACAGTGGTATACAGACGTTTATTTCAACCATCCTAGTGTTATTGCTGATATTGCCAAGTTTCCTCTTTCTCTGTACAAAAAGGAGGTGGTGGCAGTGTGAAGGGTTAATTGCATTATTAACCTTACCCAGTATCAATCGCACTCAGGCTGCCGGTACATCAATTTGTGGTCCATTAGCTGGAAAATCGTTGTGCAGGGTGCAGCTGGGCGTGGCATTGTTACGCAGGTGACATCACGGTTTTGGATTGGCTAGTCCTTCAGTCACGAGTTTGGTGAGAAGGGCTGGGGTCTGACTCGTGATCGTCACACCACCTGACAGAGCCTATCAGTGCCGCCTATCAGTGCTGCCTATCAGTGCCATATATGAGTGCTGCCTTTCAGTGTCCATCAGTGATGCCTGTCAATGCCCATCAGTGCCACCTACCAGTGCCTCCTCATCAGTGCCCATCAGTGCCACCTATCAGTGTCCATCACTTCAGCCTCATTAGTGCACATCATGAAGGAAAAAAAAAAATCACTTATTTACAAAATTTTATAACAAAAACTAAGAAAAACCTTTTTTTTTTTTCAAAAATTTCAGTGGTTTTTGGTTTGTTTAGCAAAAAATAAAAACCCAGAGGTGATTAAATACCACCAAAAGAAAGCTCTATCTGTCTCAAAATAATGATAAAAATTTTCATATGGGTACAGGGTTGCATGACCGCGCAATTGTCAAAGTGTGACAGTGCTGAAAGCTGAAAATTGGCCTGGGCAGGAAGGGGGTATAAGTGCCCTGTAGGTGAGTGGTTAAAGTGGTAGTAAACCTCCCAAAAAAATTCTACAAAAATCTTCCCTCTGCATGTTAAGAGCATAATGTGCAATGCATTGCATACTAGCACATTATGAAAGACTTACCTGAAAATGAAGACCTCCAGCAGAGCACTGTCACTGCTCCCTGAGACTTCCATCTCCACCGTTCTTCCTTCCAGGCTCACGAGCTGCAGACATCTGATTGGCTGAGCCGCGATCTTGTCACTTCCACGCATGCGCGAAGGGAGTTTTGCCGGCGCTTCTACAGTAGATATGTCCTAAACCAGTGGGTTTAATTTCACTTTAAGCTTTCGCTGTGTTTTGTAATCCCAGATTGGGGCATGGAGTTTGAAGGTCCCAAAGTGTCTTGGGTGGGACAGAATCCTTCAATCTCGTGTCCAGCAGCATAGCATAGGGCTTCCTTGGCCTTCATGATGCTGTTTGTTCACTAATGTTCTCTAACAAACCTCTGAGGGCTTCACAGTACAGCTATATTTATACTGAGATTACACTACACACAGGTGGACTCTATTTACTAATTAGGTGACTTCTGAAGGCAGTTGGTTCCATTAGATTTTAGTTAGGGGTATCAACGAAAGGTGGCTGAATGCAAATGCACACCATACCACTATTCAGATATTTATTTTTAAAACATTTTGAAAACCCATTTATTATTTTCCTTCCACTTCACAATTTTGTGCCACTTTGTGTTGGTTTATCACATAAAAATATATATATATATAAAAGTGAATGGTATGTGAAAACAACATAAGTGATCAAAATAAATTAAAGGGAAAGCATAAAAATAAAAAAAAGGTCATAGATTGTATGAATAAAATAAAAATGTTTTTAAAATGCCCCCCGTGTTTGTGTGCAGTGGCAACCCACATATGTAAATAATGTTTGCACATGTGAAGTATCTTGATAAACGTGCGACTGAGAGTGTCACCCATGGAGATTAAGTACCGTAGTTTAGGGCCATTCCATGAGCGTGAACAATATTAAAGCATGACATGTTACGTATCTATTTACTTGCCGTAACAACATCTTTCAAATTTTACAACACAAATTGGGTTATATATTGGGTTTTTATTTATTCAGTAAAGTGTATTTTTTCCCAAAAAAATTGCGTTTGAAAAACCGCTGCGCAAATACCATGTGACATAGAAAATTGCATCGATCTTCATTATAATCTCTAGGATTTCTGCTAAAAAAAAATTACATATACACTATATTGCCAAAAGTATTGGGACGCCTGCCTTTATACGCACATGAACTTTAATGGCACCCCAGTTTTAGTCTGTAGGGTTCGATACTGAGTTGGCCCTCCCTTTACAGCTATAACAGCTTCAACTCTTCTGTGAAGGCTGTCCACAAGGTTTAGGAGTGTGGGAATGTTTGACCATTCTTCCAGAAGCACACAAAGTTGGGAGCATGAAATTGTCCAAAATGTCTTGGTATACTGATGCCTTAAGAGTTCCCTTCACTAGAACTAAGGGGCCAAGCCCAACCCCTGAAAAACAGTGCTTTACACTGCTGTATCCAACGCTTTGCATTGCCCTTGGTGATGTAAGGCTTAATGCAGCTGCTCAGCTATGGAAACCCATTCCATGAGGCTCTCTGTTGTGCTAATCTGAAGGCCACACTAAGTTTGAAAGTCTTTTTAGCTATTGACTCTGCACACAATTGGCGACTTCTGCACACTGTGTGCTTCAACATGTGCTGACACCGCTCTGTCATTTTACGTGGCCTACCACTTCATGGCTGAGTTGTTGTTGTTCCCAGTTGCTTCCACTTTGTTATAATACCACTAACAGTTGACCGTGGAATATTTAGTAGCAAGGAAATTTCACGGATGGACTTATGGCACAGGTAGCAACCTATCATGGTACCACACTTGAATTCACTGAGCTCCTGAGAGCGACCCATTCTTTCACAAATGTTTGTAGATGTAGTCTGCATGCCTAGGTGCTTGGGTTTATGCAACTATGGCCATGGAGGTGATTGGAACACCTGAATCCAATGATTTGGGGGGGTGGGGTTTTAAGTAATTTCCAAGCAAAAAAATACTGACTTTTAGATGTGAACAAAAAGTGCTTGGTCTTTTAGTCACTGTCACGGTCACTGTGCTAATGACACTGGCTGGGAAGGGGTTAAGATCTCAGGGTCATGAAGGGGTTAAAAAGTGTTAACGTGTATATTATGTGCTGCTTTTTACTAAAAATCTTTTTTCCTTCTCCCTTTGCAGGGAGGAGAAACAGAGAGATCATTCCCTTTGTACAGAGCCCATCAACAGTGGGATTTTGTGATTCATTGCCAAGACCTGCTGACAAAATCCTGCTGTGTCTAGTCATGGCAGAAGCCAGCGGGCGGGGGCGCATGCATGCGCCCTGTACCCGGAAGAGGCCAGCAATGTACAGGTATGTCGTTGTGCCTGTACAGGCCACCCGTCCAGAGTACATTGCAGTTGTGCGGCCCTTAAAGCAGAACTCCACACAAAAGGGGAAGTTCAACTTGTTTGCACCCTCCCTTCTCCACGGCCACATTTGCCACTTTTTTGGGGGAGGGGGGTTTGACAGGTACCCGCTGCAGCAAACTGAGCCGGAGGTTCAGCCCCCATCCAGTCTTCTGGGACACGTCACAGGTCCCAGAAGACTATGGGACCAATCACAAGATGCAGCGTGACCCACGCATGCGCAGTAGGAAACGGGCTGTGAAGCTGCCAGACTTCACTTACTTGGAATGCCGGCGCCAGGAATCCGATGCCAATGAAGAACTAGCCTGGGTGATGACGGCGTTGGACCCCTAGACAGGTGAGTGTCCTTATATTAAAAGTCAGCAGCTACAGTATTTGTAGCTGCTGACTTTTCATTTTTTTGGGCCCTTGTGATCTGCTGTTGTGGTCAGTTAAAGTTAACAACACCCTAAACACAGGTTGCAAATGCAATATGTTTGCTTGCACCGGCCCGCACCAAACAGCATGGTACAAAGTTTCATGCAATGCGGTTGCTGTGCATTTAAACAAAGTAGTGCACGCACTACTTTTAGTAAGCTGCGGTGCAATTACATCCCATTCAAATGAAATTGCACTGCATAGACCCACATATA